CGGCCTGGATGGATGCACCTTACTTCAATGACGTCCATAGAGAACTGGAAAAAGTCCTGTAGTCTGAGTGTGCCCTCAGAGAGGCGAAGCTAAGCTCGCATTCGAGCTGCCGCTGCTACTGCTGACGAGTGGCCTTTTGACAGTTTAACCCTGAAAACCCCATTATCAGTACTACCGTCTTCCCCCGAACGCAACGCACCCTCATTTTGGCTGTACCTCACCAGAAATATAACCTGTATGCATTCATTATCAGGATTCGGTATGGTCCAGGGAAGACGGGTAAGCACTCAAACAAGCTGCTAGTCTACTCCTGTAGGCTGAGTATGCCCTACGAGAGGCCAAGCTAAGCTCGGATTGCTGCTGCGGACTCGGCCATTTAACCCCTTAAACACCCCGTTAAAAGTACTAAGCACTCAAACAAGCTCCGCCATTTAACCCCTTAAACACCCCGCTAAAAGTACTAAGCACTCAAACAAGCTCGGCCATTAAACCCCTTAAACAACCCGTTAAAAGTACTAAGCACTCAAACAAGCTGCTAGCCAACTCCCTGCGAAGGTCCGCATTTTCAGTATCTTTTGCTCTTTAGTGCAAATAATAATACTCCCACCAAACTCGAAACAAAAGAAAGATTGCCCTTTGCTCAATCGCACCGATGAAGGCAACAATTTTACTCCTTGCAGGCCGAGAAGCAATTAAGGACCACATAGAAGGGAGGGTGGACCTGGTTTCCAGCAGGTGCAGACTTCCCACCAATAGATGGAGCCTTCACTGCAGGCAGTGCAGGGTTCCACTTACCGGGGGCGAGGTCCCACTAGGAAAGAGGATTGGATTCAACGCCTGAATCTGGACATGTTTGTGGAGGGGTGTATAGCATTGCGATTGAACTGCTCTTCTGCATCTCCTCGTAAAAGACATCCAGATTCAGACTCCCAATGCAACCCCCTTTGCTAATGGGGCCTCACTCCGGGGATGCTCATATCACCCCGCTAAATGTCCTTGCCCGAAGATTTGGAAAAAAAAGAAAAAAACAAAGATGAAGATGCGATACCACACTCATGCACAACACAGCAAACAAACAAACAAACAAACAAACAAACAAACAAACAAACAAACAAACAAACAAACAAAACAAAACACAGCAAACATTCGACTCATCAATCCAAGTGTAAGGGCCTCGCCACACCAATGTCGAAACGGTGAAATTTTCAACAACTATATATGCACCGGCTGAATACAAGGATCGAGTTCAATTCTTAGCGGAACTCCCAGAGATATTACCGGTCACCCACAATCTTGTTCTGGGGGCAGACTGGAATACTATATTAAACCCTGGACTGGACTCCCCCTCAGTACTCCCAATACGCAGAGACACTCGATTACTGCATGAATTTATGCAATCCAACGATTTCACTGATGCTTACAGAATCTTGAATCCGGACCTGGCGGGGTACACCTGGTTTGGCCCGGCGAATGGAACTCTCTCCGCTCGACGGTTAGATTATGTCTTGCTGCGGGGAGTCCCGTGGACAAATTGTCTGTCAGCAGAAGTAGGTTCTTCTCCTCTGTCAGATCACTCCCCGGTTCGCTTCGAGATGCAACTGGGAGGGGATCCGGATAGAGGGCAGGGTTATTTCCGACTGAACGTGGTGCACCTAGAGGACCAGGCTCTAAAGGATTGGTTGAATCGCATTATTCTCAATTGGAAAGGAACGCTTCATCTTTGCCAAAGCCCTCAGCTTTGGTATGATGGGGTTATGGCGGCCCTGCAGGAAGCCTGCAGCACTTACTCCAGAATAAAGAGTGGTAGTGTTAACAAGCAAATCAGGCAATGGAAAGCTGAAATAGCCATGGCAGAAAGACAGTTAGGAAGACACCCTATATCCGATCTGTACTGGATGCAAAAGCGGAATACTGCGCTGGCTGAATTGGAAGCACAGGAAATTAAGGCAGAGGAACAAAGGAGAGAATGGCTATGGGTTAAGGGGATGACGCATTATGATCGAATGACCAAAGAATCTTTTCAAGCCCTGATGCGTTCGGTGGCCAGACCCCTCATGAAGGAGCTGGAGCACCCTTTCTCACTAACTGCACCGGTTGCAGAAAGTTCTCTTTTAATGTGCCAATGCGCTAGGGAGTATTTTAGTGATATCTTAACTACACGCCGCCAGATACAGACCTGAGGAATTTCTCTGAATTTTGGAGATTCTCTGGGAAAGTGCTTCCTCTATACGCCACACGAGATTTGGATCGCCCTCTCACAGTGGAAGAACTGGAGGTTGCAGCCCAAGTGATGGCCAAAGGAAAAGCCCCGGGGCCAGATGGTCTGCCGATCCATACTCACTTTTTGGGACTTCTTTGGACCGGTCTTAACTAGTCTTTTTAATGATGTTCTGATTGGGGAGTCTCTCCCAGAAACAATGGTGGAAGGGGTAATCTCTCTGTTATATAAGAAAGGAAGCAAGAAAGAAATTCGTAATTGGAGACCAATCTCGCTGTTAAACGCGGCTTATAAACTGTTAGCTAAAGCCATCGCACTAAGATTAGCGAAATACCTACCGTTACTCACGGGT